GACAAGGAAGGCAAGTCTGGAGAAATAGAGGTTTAAAGATCAAGATTAGCAAATTAACAGGCAGGAAAAGCCAAATAGCCAATTAACCTACTACTGCAAAGCCCGGGGCCTGGTGTGGAGCACCGGGTTCTCGGTGGCAGCTGATATTTGGTGTCCTAAAACCTCTGGCTGAAGCTGTTTCCTTCCCTCAAGCGCAACAGTCACTGGGCATGTTTTCTTTTTATGTCACTTCCTCTGTGGAAATCACTTTGTGTTGCTCTGAGATGGTTGCCACGGGAACATCTCAACCTAGTCATTATCTACTCAGGCTACTGATTATATTAAATCAGGAGCCAGAGCTGTAGGGGTTGCTGGGGCCGCCTGCTCTGCAGAAGGTTGTAATTCTGTGGCTTTCACCTCTGTGTCCACACGTCTCTGAACACCCTTCTCCGCGTTTTTGCCTCTTTTGTTTTCCCCCAAACAGAATTAGTAAACAAAATGAATCTATAGGAAACAAGCGTTGGGATAATAGAGCTGTTCCATTTCCATTGCTCCTGCCCTCGCTAGCTCACCGTGTTAGTACATCTCTAAGAATAACAATAATTGTCCTCCCTCTTCTCTCACTCTGCTCTGCCCTCCATGCCTAGGTGTAAAGATAATTCTCTTCTTTAAAGGTCTGTGTTTTCTGTGTCCTACACAATGATGCCGAAGCCAGTTTCCTGCTATTTATCCAGAGAAGCTTCTGGAAATTCATAGAGATGCCTCTTTTCTTAATTGTATAAAATAGAAACAGGAAACAAAATTGGCTTACATATTTTTATTGGTCTGGATGGATCTCTTATGAGGAGGGCTTTCTAATTTTTATTCCTGGAATGTATGTGATATTTTATTATTACTTAATGGACAAATTAAAATTGTACATATTTATGGTGCACAACATGATGTTTTAAAATGTGCGTACATTGTGGAATGGCTAAATAAACTTAAATAACATATGTATTACCTCATACACTTATTTTTTGTGATGAGAACACTTAAAATTTATTCTCTTAGCAATTTTCAAGTATGTAATACATTTATTACTATCTTCACTACATTGCACAATAGAGCTTTTAGTCTTATTCCTGTGTGAGATCTTTGAGAGGCATTGTATTGAAGTACTCTTTTGTAGGAAAACCTATATAACAGTTGGCCTTGTAATTTAGTGTCCAAACCCATACATTTTGGGAGTTGGGAGTAAAAGACAGTGCTATTAATAAGTATTCCTGAACGACAGATGCAAATTAAGACTATGCCAGGCAAACCAAGTATATATAGTCACCTTATATGTAGATAATAGGTACACAAGCATGGTAGTACTGTGCTCTCCTTCCCCCCAAAATGTGTAGAAATGGACATCTCTTCTAGAAGAATATTTATGCAATTAGATATTATAATTTTAAATTGGAATTTTAAATCTGGATTAACAACAGAGGTTCCCTTTCTTTTTATACTTCTGTCTCATGTAAATTTAGTAATGGGAGTCCATTCTTGAAAGTAAAGTGGTGGTACTGGGAATTGAAAAGAAAAAATATGACATTAAAAAAGGAAAATAGACTGGTCTGAATACGCCTATGGAGAGGTCATAAAACCCTCTTAAATCTGTTAAAAAAAAGTCTAATTAGAGGTTGGCAACCTTGTTCTGTAAAGGGTCATATTATAAGTGTTTTTGGCTTTGTGGACCACATGGTCTCTGTTGCCACTACTTTGCCATTGTAATGTGAAAGCAGCCATAGCTGTCATATAAACAAAGGGGCATGGCAGTGTCCCAGTAAAAATTTTATTTACCAAAATAGGCAGGGGCAGGGAAAGGGGGATAGATTAGGTGTATAGGCTGTCATTTATCCACCCCTGTTCTAGTTAATCTGTTTTAATATCTAGAAACTTTGTTTCTTGTAGAAGATAAGTTATTTTAGATATTAATTATGATGTCCCCTATCCTGCTATGACTAATGGGGCCAATGAAGAAATGCAGTGGGCTTTACTATTTAATATGAATTTTTGTTTATGCACGTTGCAGTGATCCAAGGCACATGTTGAGGTGGGTGGTGGAGGATAAACAGCCAGGGACACTCTGGATAGGGAATGGCAGTTGTGTGGGTTTCACAGGAATTTTAGAAGGTAGGCTGCAGGGATGCAGAACTGGGGAATAGAGGCTATGGCACTTTGGCTTTTTCTATACATGTTTAAAAAAAAAAGTCCTAGATTAGATTCTCCCTTGGGAGAGAGAACAAAACTGCAAGCACCCGAGGAAAATGAAGTCTTCGGTCTGCGCCCATACTTGGAAAAAATGGACTCAAAATTAAGGTGATAGAATCACTTTAAGCCAGTTTAGAACTTATAGCATAGAATTGGAATCAGTTGGTAAAGATAAAAGTTTTAGGAGAAAATCCCGAAATGTTCCAAAATGTTTCCCTTTTGGCAGAAAGCACACGCTAACAAATCAGGTGAACTACAGAAGGAACAGGAATGAGATTAAAGAGGATTAGACAGCACATAAGCAGCAGGAGATACAATATATAATATAGTTTATGTGACTGTATGTAAGCTAGATGTCCACATGCCTACTGCTACATGCTAGCAAGCTGCCGTAATTGCAGACTAAGTTAGAAATTGTGGAAGGTAACCGCAGTAATCTCATTGGTTCAAGTTTCAATTCACTGACAGGGTATGTGGGGCATTATACAAAGGGGTGGGTAGTACCACAAATAAAGGAAAAGCTTAGAGGTCTTCAGTCCTATTTGTGCTGTTCAGTTAAACACGGGATGATTTAGATTCATAGTTATTTAACATAATCTTTTTGAGGAAACCCTTTAATTGGTTAAAGTTAGATTAACTATAGTTACTGAGTGTTCAGTAACCATGAAGAGACTGTCCTTCGGATCTTATAGTCTATTTAAGGATGTGTTTTATACACACAGGACAAAAAATTGAGGCCACTTATAAAGCAAAATACCATGAAGGCAAATTAATGTTGCCTTAGCATTTGTCATAAATTCAGAGACATGAGTGAAAGAGTTATCCAGAGTGCAGTACCAAGAAGAATAAAAAGGGAATTTCAGGATAGATGGCCAACATTGTCACTCGACAGGTGGAGGGTCTTAAGCGACAGGTGGGGGCGATGGGGGAGGAGGGGGACCCAGCGTCCAAGGCTGAGACGGGAGGCTGGGGTGAGCCCAGGCACTGAGACATGCTGGAGAACCTCCAGCAGAGGGGGGGCATGGTGGCAGCTTCTTGCAGATGATCTGTCACAGGGTGAATAATATGACAGTGAAATATTATCTGCAGTGAGTTTCTCTTTAAGTTTTTATTGATTTTTGCAGATGTTTTTCAGATTACAAAAGTAACAAAAAATTGTAAAAAAAAAAAAAATCCAAGTGTTACAGAAGCCCATGATGTAGACAGTTAAATATTCTGCTGTTCCACCTGCCAACATAACCACCATATGCAGTGATGTGGCTTATTGACAGTGGGATTAAATTTTTATTATCATTTGGATCCTTGGAATTATAAAGAGAAATATCTCCTATTTTCTTAATTTATTCATGGTTTATATTAGAAACCATGAAACAGTATCTTATCAACTACTGCAAAGAGGCTTCTTGGTTATTTTCTCCCTCCAACTAACAGGATAGGTTGCTTTTGGAGAGTTCTGGTCTATATGAACTGGATCCCTTGCTCATCCTTATTCTCTTGGTGCAACCACATGCCTGGGACCTGGAAATCCATTTGGTCCAGAGCCTGTCAAAGGTGAAACTTCCGTGGGTAGCTGGAACAGCCCATTCAAGGTCATAAGGAGGGGTCAGAGACACCATTGGCTGTATCCACAGGCTGTATCCAATATTGCGCTGGTCTCGTGACTCAATTCTGCCTTCTATAAAGCAATTTTGGGGGTCTGGGTGGGGAAGGCTGTCTCTAGTATGGAAAGAGTTAATCCAAGTCTTTGTGTCCCTGTAAGAGCTGAAAAAACAGACACTGCACACTGATATGAGAAGTTACCCAGCCAGGAGAAATACAAACATGTCCATCTCCTATTGGCCTTTCAAGGATCTAAGGATCAGAAATAGCAAGTTCTAATTTCTCCTGGTAATTTCCAGGGGTCGAAGTAAATCAAATTACCTCTTTAGCTGAGCTTGTTTATGTCATAGGAAAGTAATATTCTGTGGGTGCAATCCAACACTTTGAAATTCGTAGATGGGAAGTGATATGAGAACCAAACCCTGAAAACCTTGAAGCAAAATGTGAAATTTATCCACTTTCTCCCCTAACTCCCCCACAAGTCCAAAGTGAAGGATGATTACGATAGGAGATACGAAGTCTGGATGACTGGTCTCTGGTTTAGGTTTCCAGAGGAACCTAATATTAAAAGAATTGGGACCAAAACTCCCAATGAGGACCAGTAGATAGAGGGGAAAGGGAGAAGTAAATGAACTTGCATAAGGTTAGTGATGAAGGAGAAAGCAGCAAGTGCAGGCGAAAAGAACTTTGCCATGGTGAAGAGTTTTATCAAGAATGCAAGACTAGACCTCAAGGATTTAGATCAGACAAGCACTGAGGATTAGATAATGGGGGGGGGTGTTACTAAAGGCAACTGCAGAAGAGGTTTCTCTGTGGGGTTTGAAAAATAAAATCGAATCTCATCTAGTCCGGTCTTGGCTGAAGGTGGAGAGAATGTGTCAGAAAATGAGACTAATAGCTTCCTTGTATAGGGTTTCACCGGTTTTTAAGATTTACATTTTGAAAGCTGACATGTTTTCACTGGACTCTCACTAAAGCTCAGAGAGGCAGGGCAGGGCCAGAATTACTTCCCTGGTGAGGGAATTCAAAGACAAAAGGGTTAAGTTCCAGTTGGCAGGAGAGAGATGCAGGAAGGAAGGCAGACCCTGGAAGGTTTTGAAGTTCAGAGGGAAATGAGGATTCTTTTTTTTTTTTCCTTTTTGAAGAAAACGTTTGTTCCTTTCCAGGTACACTTGATTACTCACTGTTAAGTAGGCGGAAGTCAATGAATGGGTAGGAGCCTCGGCGTTCAGCAGGGACCCCCGTCTGACCCGTTAGTTGTACATCTCCTAGAAAACAGAAAATCCAAACAAATGTTTGAAAACGTTGCCAAGTGTCTTCACTTTTCTTCTGTAAATCCTCTTAGCCAGTTATGCCAATGAAACCAACACCAGATGTCCGGAGAAAAATGATTCCCTCTCGCCTTACTGAGCAGAGTGCTATGCGTGAAGGGATGTCTGATTAACGCTGAGTGTAATGAACTTGGCAATGTGATCACAAACGAACTACTGCCCTCTTGTATTTGCCTGGAAGATGGGTCTGTGAAAATCACAACAACTTATGTTTCCATAGTCTTTTTTATACTTCCCAGAGCCATAAAAAGGAAGCATCTGAATCTGGAAAGACAAATGGTGTGTTGAGAAAGTAGTTTTGTCTTATAAGATTTAATCAGCCAGAGTGTCATTTCTCTGGGTTCCAGCACAATTGTTTCCTGACTGGCATCCACTTTCCTTGTCCCCAGGTTGTATCATTCACCTGCTCTAGAATCTGCCCAAAGGCTAGCCTTGTCCCAGGTACATTAGCCACTCCGCCACCCTTGCACATAGGGCAGTCTGGAGAGCCTCTGGGACTTATTTACTTGTTGTTTTCCTTTAATGTCTGTGTTCCTTTTCCGTTTTTTTTTTTTTTTTTTTTGGTGTGTGTCTTGCCTTCCCAATCAAGGGAGTGGAAAGACCAGGGACTTTAGAATGAGGTAGGCCTTGGAGAAGCCTGGCTCTGACATTTGCTGACTGTGTGATCTTGGCAAATTTATTTCTGAGCCTCAGTTGCCTCATTTATAAAATGAAGATGAGATCTACTTCGAAGTATCATCAATCACAGATCCTAAAATGATACCTGCTGCCTGGCAATAAGTGCTGGTTTATTTACTTCTAAACTGCAAAGCAGGGATTGCGTATGCCATGCCATTTGCATTTCTCTGAAGCACTTTGTATATTGTCTGGTACGTAGTGGACTCTAAGTGAATGTCCCCTGTTGACAAGAGTAGATATAAAGACAAAATTCACCAGTTATTACACATAACATGGAGTCAAAGGAGAGGTAAAAATACATGAGGCCTAATATATTTCTGGAAGAACCGAATCAGGGAAGGTTTCAATTCCAGTAGTAATGGGTTCATGGCCATAAACCATTTTGTCCCAGAAGTCAGGTGGCACTGAGGCCCCAGCCTGCCTGGGAGGGGAGAGAGTAACAGTCTTCCCCCTCCTTCCTAACTCCTGGAGTTAGCCAGGGCAGGCTGAGATCCACATCATCTGCTGCCACCCCTGCAACTGACCCTGCTTAAAATGTCGCTCATGGAAGGGCCTTGAGGGTACCTGGGGTTGTAAAGTGCAAGCTGTGAGCTCTGGGGCTGTCCTCTGCTTTGAATTTTATATTGGTGCCTTATTTAATATCTCATATAATCTGATACTATATTGCCATATTGATATTAAAGAATGTCATAACTTATGGATAAAAGAAAGCAAAGTGGGAGGAAGAAGGAAGAGATGGAAAAGTACTTTAAAAATATGAATATAAATTGACATTGAAGAAGGGCATACTGTTAGCTTTTAAAAAAAATTAATTTATATATTTTGATAAGTCCATGGGGTGGATGGTCTATAGTTAAAGGAAAGTGATATAGAAGAGTTGAAGTGTTTTTCTCTCCTTGGCAGTTGTCTTAAATGCCCTGTATTTATAATGTGCTGAAGGGTTTACAAAGCACTTTCACAAACATCACAGTATATTTATTTTCTTGTTTTTCTTGTTGGATCCTCGTAATAGCCTGGTGAAGAGAGCCACTTATTATTATTATTCTCTTTACTTTATAAGTGAGAAAATCGAGGCCCACGGGGAAGAAAGAATGGCTTCCAAGGACTGCTGTTCACCCTGTGGTCCCAGCTAAGGGCTGGAGGCTCTTAAAGGTCTGAGGTAGTAAATATATATGGACTTTAACTGAGCTGCCCGAGTTTATGGTGCTTGAAGCTTATATTAGTAATTAGCACTTACATCTAGGATCTAGGTTGGTAGACTTCATAGGCAGAGCTCTCTCCTCTATACCATTGGTTTCTAACCTTATGGAGTGTGCAGACCTATTTTTTTTTTTCTTTTTTGAGACAGAGTCTCACTCTGTTGCCAGGGCCAGAGTGCTGTGCCATTAGCTTAGCTCACTGCAACCTCAGACTCCTGGGCTCAAGCGATCCTCCTGCCTCAGCCTCCTGAGTAGCTGGGACTAAAAGCATGTGCCACCATGCCTGACTTATTTTTCTATTTTTAGTATAGACAGGGTCTCACTCTTGCTCAGCCTGGTCTGGAACTCCTGAACTCAAGTGATCCTTCTACCTCGGCCTCCCAGAGTGCTAGGATTACAGGTGTGAGCCACTATGCCAGCCAGACCTGATTTTTAAAATGAAAAACAAAAAACAAAAAACAAAAACCTTAGACTTCCCCCATAATAGAAGACTTTAGATTTAGGGGTTGAGGAGATAGCACCCCACGGCAGAATGGACAAAGGGCAGGCAGTGCAGTAGGAACTCAGGGACTCCTGTGCTGAGACATCAGCATTTTGCCATCTTGAGTAACTTGAAACAAAAAAAAATAATCACTTTGAGGTTGAACTGTCTAATATTTAAATGGCATAGTGATAGCAATTTTGCCTACCTCACAAGGTTGTTGTGAGGAAATTATAAGATGCGCGAAATAAGATAGTTAACATTTAATGAACAATTTACACTGTGCTGAGCATTTTACATGCATTATCTCATATCACCAACCCAACAACCCACAGTAGGTATTTATTATTCTTAGACTATTTTACAGATAGGCAAACTAAAGCCAAGGCAAATTTGATAATTTGTTCAAATTCATAGAAGTACTAAGGGTAGAGCTTTTGCTTAAACTCAGAATGGATTTTAAACCCCATGTTCTTAACCACCGTCCCATATTATCAGGATAAAAATTGTTTAAAGAGGTAAGCATTAACGTTTCTTACACAGTGTATGCTTTGATTGTTATTTGCCATTAAACCAAATATAGTTATCACAGTTTTGAGAAACTGAATACCATAGGTATCCACCCCCTTAATGAATTCGAGGCTTAAGCAGATGGATGTTGTTTATTCAAAGAGCAGTGCTGTGGAAATGGGCTGTATGAGCAAGACAACCAAATCCCATTCTGGATCAACAAGGCATCTATTACTTCCAAGTAAGAAATGGAAAGCAATTATTGAAAATATTATTTAGCAGAACTGAAATTAGCTGGCAACTAATTGATTCAAGCTCTCGACTAAGTGCCATTTTCATACTGCTCCCCACTTTTGAGAAAAAGAGACAAATAGCAAAGCAAGCTGATAGCAAAGATACCTGAACAAACAAAACATAACAAAACAAAATCAACAGCAACCACAACAAACGGCTAAACCATACCCAAAAGATTCAGTTTCAGTTCCTACGCTGTCTGTAACTACAATGGCACTCCGAGAAGCTGATTACTTAATGATGGCCCTTTGGTGTAGCAAACAATTGTTTTCAAAAGGATTAAATCATGTCAAAAAATACTGGTAAGGCAGGAGGCAGGACAATTGTAAGTGGGCTAACAATGCATTTTGGAAAATTTTCAACACCAGAAAAGTTAAATACAAACAAAGTAAACATTCTGTATCTTGAGCATTTTATTTAGTTGAAGCTCTAGCATAGTAAGATTAATGTTTTAAGCCTATATTTCTAATGTAGAATGTTCTCTTTACTTCTCCCTGCTTTGATGAACCCCTTCTGCTACTAAATTGCTTTAGTATGCTGGTGGGGAGAGAGAAATAATCCCGTAACAACAGTCCTTGGAGGAAGAGCAGAGGCCGCTGGGCTGTTGTCCGAGGGACAGAACAAGCGGTGTCCTGCTGTACTGCTTTTATTGGCTCAGGTCTCAGGCAATCATCTATTTACCTAAGTCCTTATATCCAAGCTAAACAATTATTTTGACTATTCATTAAGCCCTTGTTTAACTTGAGCAGGTTTTTTTTCTTTTCTGGCAAATGAAAGGTGCTGTGGAAGCCGGTAGGAAGCGTTGACAGCTCAGAGTCATGTCCCCAGTCTGTTCTTATTGTGTTCCAAAAGGAAACAAACAGCAGGGGAATTCTCATTTTGAAAGGGCTGCTTCTCTTTTGCCTCTTCAGGCTGAAAACCTAACATGTCGTCCTCAGGACTGAAGGTGACAAACAGGCAGCTGCCCTTGGTCCAGGAGCCGAGACCTGGAGACAGCCCCTCCCCCTCCCCCGGGATGTGGAGCTGGGATGGACCTCCTCTGCACATTTGGCCTCTTGCGCTGTCTCTGGTTAATACAAGCTTGTACTTAGGGAGCAGGCGTTTATGTGGCCTCTTATGTAACTCGTGAGGACTCTGACAGCAATGACAGCTTACAGTGGCTGAAGCATGGACCACATGACAGGAACCATACTCTGGCCCCAATCGTGGGGTGTGGAGGTCATTTCAGGGTGAGGAATAGGTGTCAGGAAGGGACAGAGCAGTAGCTACCATGCTCCTATGGGATCTTAGACCAGTGAAGAAGATAATGGAGTTCTTGATGTAAACAGGTTGCAGGGAACATGGGGCAGATTCATGGCAGGGGCGAGCATCTCTAAGGAACAAGGAAGATGAGATGGTGGTGGTGTCAGAAATATGAAATCCTAGAGCAGCCCAAATATGGTGTGGAAGAAGCAGCTCTCGTAAAAGGTATTCCTTTGAGCTTCCTGAGCACATTACTAATTCATGTCACTGTCACTGCTTGCAAAACGAAGACGGAGAGAACCCAGATCCCACATCTCAGACAAGAACTTTCACCTTACTGCTCTGCCTCAGTTAGAAGCTTTGTTTATTTCATGTGACTACTCTGAGAATTAGCTAAGTGAATGATTTCTCCTAAGATGTTTATCTAGCCTAACAAAGAGGAGGAACGTTGTGCAATTTAATCACTCCATAGATTTATGGGGTAGTAGAAGCAGCCAGTTTAGATAACTCACGCAGAGATTATTGTTCCAAGC